GTCCAGTCCGCCGCACCTCGGTGCCTTCAAGGAACCGAGACGGCTGCGGGGGGCGATGGAAGATGAGAGACCCCGATCTGATCTTGCGATGAGGGACCCACGATTGGAGACGCCCCTGCAAATTCCATACCAGTTTGTTCAGTTCCTTCCACCTTTCATCTCCACTTGAGTCAGCTACCCGGCCCATCCCGACACCTGGGGCGCCCTTCACCGGCGAGTGAGGCGACCAGCCCATGGGTTCCAGTTCGCTGGACCTTGGTGGCCAACGATGGCACCTCAGGTGACGAGACCGCCGCCTGACGTGTGACGCTGGGGACGGTCCTTGGGTCGTTGGGGACGGTCTTTGGGTCGTGGAAGTATCAACCCCTTCAGTCGATCCGCCATGGGATCGATTCCCCAAAATCGGGTCACTTGTGGTAGAGCTTCGCAAACCGGCTGGTTGTGATGGTGGTTGTTGTTGTTGTTGCTGCTGCTGTTGTTGTGGTGCTTGTCGTGGTTGTCGTGGTGGTCGTGGTGTTTGTTTGTTTGTTGGTTGGTTGGTTGGTTGGTTGGTTGGTGGTGCTGTTGTTGCTGTTGCTGTTGCTGTGCGCAAAAGCATGCCTGCGAAGTAGGCTACACATGGTACAAGGGCCGACTCGTCACCCCTACTTCAAATACCCAATATGTTGAATCTCCCATCCTATTTCTGTTTGCCTGCGGCCTCACTTGCAGGACAGGGGTTCGTCTGTACACGCGGAAATCGGATCGTCTGTACACGCGGTGACGGGGATCGTCTGTACACGCGGGGATCGTATGTACACGCGGCTTCCGTATGCGGGTGCCAGTGGCCATACTTTGGGTTCTTACGGTAGGTGCAAAGGCCGGGTGTTGATCCAGGGTGCTCAGATGTGTGTGAGCCCCACCCCTCCCCACCCCACCCCACCCCACCCCACCCCACCCCACCACCCCACCCGATGTGCCCTGTGTGCGCAGATGATCCAGATTTGTGTGTGCAGATGATCCAGATCTGTGTGCGCAGATGATCTTGGCTGTGTGCGCAGATGATCCTGATCTGTGTGCGCAGATGATCCCCTGTCCTCACTTGCACCCCTCCGAGAGCAAACCCTTTTGGGCAGGGTGAGGCCCTGATCACGTTGCATGTGAGGTGGGGCTGTGCTTGATGTTTGGTTACATACATGGTGGGGTGGGGTGTGACAGCAGCCCGCCGGCCACTTGAACAACAAAAACTTTTATGTGCAAAATTTTTCAAGAACCAAGTCTTATGCCGCTTGCTGAACACTTTTTGACCCTGGCCAATCAAGGTCTCTGAACAAGACCTGTGCAGACTTGGATAAAATATATTTTGTAAACGTTGCGAAGGCCACGCAAAAATTGACTGGAGCTTCAGTGAAGACGCGTCATGCTGCGAACAAGTGCTAAGGGGACCACCAGGGAGTCGAACCCCTGGCCAATTCCATGGCCAAAGCTTTTGACCGAACAAAGTTCTTGAATGGTCCGAAACGGGTACAGATTTTACACCTTTTGTCAGACTTTTCGTGCTCCGACATCACAACGACCTCGCCCCAGTGCTTCTGTCCGTAACCCCTTTTCAGGAACACGCCGGCCACGCTCACGCTCAGGCTGAGACCGGGGTCGGTGGAGATGTACACGCAGAGACTCCACAGAGTTAGAAACCTGAAGGTCCTGGATGTCCTGGTCTTCAGCTTTCGGCGAACTCGCTTCAGGTCGTTGATGGCCCCTCTTTGACGACTGAAGCAGCTGTGAGTTCTCGAACCTTCGGCCCCTTTGGGCTCGGATGTGGGGTCGACGGAGGAGGTGGAGCCTGAACAGGGATGTCATCGGTGCGTTTTCGAAGGGGGAGCACTTTCGTTGGAAAATAAACAAACAATGTAGACGGCTGAGTAATCAACCAACCAACCATTCTCCCCAGTGGCCCAGGCCTGAGATGGAAAACGATTCTCATCCGTTTGCATACTGCCGTTCCGAGAAGATGTCGCGCCGGAGAGCAAACTTCCTTCCGAGATCCGCGATCCCAGTACCGAGCAGCACGCTTTGCCGAAGACATACCGTGTAATTTCAAGATTGTGAGCGGTGCCAACTTGTTCAGTCTGAACATGAGTTCATGTAATCCTGACATCGAAGTAACAAGGACTTACTATGGAATTTTCATAGTTAATCCTTATGGATTCTCTTGGAATCATCAGTTTCAAGACGCTCAAGGAGACAGGTTGTAGTCAGCTGGGCTTTCATCTACATCATCCAGATTGGCCAGCAAAACCATCAACGGCACAAGACATGTTTTTTCTCCTTGGAACTCCCCCAAAAACGCTTTGTGCATAGGTTTGTTTCTTTTTGCAAGAAGTCCGGTCCTCAACTTAGTTTTCCCAAGTTCCTTGTAGGTCAACCATCTTCTAGGGCTGGGTAGCCCACAAGATCCCACAAGAAATCAAAGCATTGAGCAGAAACGTGTGACCCGTCCCCTGACATGTTGGAAGGTCCGACCAGTCCATCGTCCGAGGTGCCCGCAGGAACGTCCGAGGTGCCGAGGATCCTCTTTGAGTCGAAAAGGATGGCGAAAAGCAGGTCACGTGAAAGCAGGTCAACTGGTCCGTTTGCAACAACGCGGGCCGAATTGCCGAAAGCAGGGGATTTCGGGTTGCGACCTCTCAAGGTTCAGTTCCGGGTTGAAGCTTCGATTAAGTTGACTGAGCTTGGCGAGCCAGCTCACCCCTCCGTGCTTCTTGCGGGTCTCGCAAGACGGGATGTGTCACTTTCATCGCTCTGGTGACGCAGGTGATGATCAGCGGGGGGGCACGGTCCGGGGCCAGTCCCAGGTTGCGCTGTTGGGGCCCGGTCACGGGCTGAACTCTTTGAATTCTCTTTAGTCCCAAGCATATGGCCATGCTTGGGAAGTTCTGGGCATTGGAACGATGCTCCACTTGAGGCATTGTTGGATGTGGCCTCGTGCAGGCAGCTGGACCTGCTGGACTAGCCATTTGTGGCTCAACAAGATCGTGAGGAGCTTTGATGAGAAACATGAACGGACACGAGAGTGATACACAAAGCGCTTTTTCGTGAACAACCCGTCCACTTCTTTTGCATAAGCAAGTGATTTCGTGATTGATGTTGCGGGTCTTTTAGCGCCACCACGTGCCACATCATCCAAATGAGTGTGGGCTCAGATCCTCTTCCTGCCGCTTTTGAACTGACGCTGGAGATTGGTCTCCAGCGGTTGAGTTCTGTGATCGAAACTGGTTTGCAACAACCTTCCCCGAAACTGCGGTTTTGCATCCGACAGTAGTCAGTCCAGGACTCTGTGTTGACTCTGTGCCACCTTCCACTGGGGCGCGCAAGTTGACAGCTGTACATTGACAGCTGGGAGGGATGTCAAAGATGCCAGGATGCAGCGCAACGAGAACGAAGCTCTAGTAGCCTCCCCTGAGAATCTCGTGTCCAGATCAACCATCAATTGGGCTTCACATTCCTGTTCTCACCATAGGGCCATAGGGTTGAGTGAACACCCCTGAAAGTTTGTCTAAAGAACCAAAGAACACCTCAAAGTCGAAGTCATAGCACTTTTGAGACCATGACATGCTTCACGAGACCAGCGGAACCTGTTTCAACGCCTTTTGGACCATCCCCCCGGAGCACGACTTTTTTGACTGCTCGACCTGGCCGTGAAATTGGCACGAGAGTTGCAGCTCGCCAGGTCGAGCGTTGCAGCGAAGTGGAGATCCACCCCAAGCGACCGTGGCGGGGTTTCCCCCTTCAGACAGAGCGACCAAAGGCGCTGAATCAGCGCTTTGGCTTTTCTTTTTTCGCGGGTTGAAAGGGCCTCGAACCGAGAGGTCTTCTTTTGGGACGTGCCAGTTGCATGGACGGATACTAGAATGTGGGTCACATCCCAGTGGTTCAACCCGTTGGCAAATGCAACGAAGCACTTGTAATCTCGCTCTCCTTGAACATCAGGGTGGCCCTGAACTTTGCCTGTATTCATGGGTGTGGGATCTCTTTTTTGAGAGGGTCTGCTTATTAGTTGGACCCTGTTGGCCAGGGTAGTACCTCCAAATTTGTGTTCTGAAGAATCTCTTCAAATCCTTCATTTTCGTCAAATACTGGCCTTGCCTCCCTTTATCCGTCTCGGATCCCACACTAACGGTCGTCTTTCAATGCTCCGAATCGGATTTTGCTGGGAGTGTCGCGGAAGCAAGATGGGTGTGCTGAAAGAATATGTGTGTGCTTTTTTAAAGTAAATATTTACCCATACAGGTCTGTAGAAGTGGAAGTAAGTACCCCTAAAACCCAGGTTCGTACCCTGGCTGGACCTCATTTCTCTTCATTTTTGGTTCGATGGTGGTCACCAGTTCTCCTGGATTCTTGGCGTTACCGTGGTCGAGATGAGGTGTTAAGAGTTTGGTATGAGAGAACCGGAGAATCAACGCGGTGGACAATTCCAAAAGAACGAAAGCAGTTCGACTCATCTTGCCCTCGGGTCGGTGTAAAACATCATCTCGAAGAACCTGCGGCATGCCAAGATGTTTGCGACACCCGGCGGATCTATTCAATATTCAATAGAATCAATAGAACGCGTTCCAGCTGACCAATCGCTGGAGGAAAAAGGCGCTGAGCGTAACGCCGCACTGGGGGGGCTTTCGCAGCGCTCAAAAGGCTCCTGCTTTTGTCTTAGAGTTCCTACAGCATGAGCCTTGGCCTAGTGGAGGAGCCAGCCATTGGAACGAAAGGGAAGAGCTCTCCTTGGAGTTGCCCTTTCAGACCTGAAAGCAGGTGGAGAACTCATCAATCACACATTATAGTAGTCAGTTGCCTCATGACTCATGACCAAATCCATTTGCACACTTGGAGAACCTTCCACTTCCTCCAAATCCAAGGAGTTAAACTGGCGGCTTCGCTTTTCGCAGCCTCATCGCAATATAGGCGAACAACGGGACCAAAACGAAGCAGAATGGGAACGACCCGGGCGACGTTGATCCGCACCCGAGGTGCTTCAAGCCACCGGAGGAGCGGCATTTGTGCATCAGGAGCGGCGCTCCGAGCAGCGGTGTTCGGCTTTCGAGCGGGTTCTTCGAACCGGGCGAGTCTTCCTCGTAGAAAGGACCCCACATCCAAGGGGGGTTGGTGCAACACCCAACATCCAAGGGGCTATCAATAGAAGCCCAAATCCATTACGGGTTTATATTATATGTTAAATATACACAAATCCCAAAACATATATATCAATATACCTGGTATATTTAACATCTATGTGTTTTTTCGTTCGATGACCCGGTGGCTCGGTTCAAACGCACTTTCTCTCCGAGACCGCACCAGGGCTCGCTTTCTGGAAGCGTTGGTCCATTTAAAGGTTTAGTTTGTTTGGGTCACTGTAGTCACTGTAGTTCATTGGCATCTTTCATTTGGAAGTTCTTTTTTTCTCGGTGTCTCCCCTGTTGAGACCGAACGGATCGATTCTCAAGAAAAGGTGAGAGGGCCCATCGTTGTGCGACAGCTTTGTGGGGGAACGGGGGTACCTTCCGCCCAAAGTACGAGCATTCTGTGGATGAATTCATGAATGTAAGTCTACCCAAGAACCGCCCACATGACCTCAACCAGAGAGGGTGACCTGCGATACTACAAGACGCAACATTGTGTGGCTCCAAGCTTCTGGATGCCTTTCTTTCACCCGAGGGGTGTTCTTTTTTGCATCGACGACGAGATGTGAGTCCATACATTTGCCATGTGAGTCGCTGGCCTGGCCGGCCCGGTCTGTATCAATGGGCCTTCTCTGAGGAATCGGACCCTTTCTTGGGACATCCTTTTGGGGATTTTTTTCACCAAATCTGCCCTTGTGAGTCGCTTGGACTCGCCAGGTTGGCCTTAACAGGCACCAGTCCTGTGGTCCGGCCGCCCAGATTGGAGGAAAGGTATGAGAACCCTGGAAGTCCGTTCGACCGTTTTGAAGATGGTTGATCTGGTTGATCGTAGTGTCATTAGTAAAACTTATACACAATGGAGGTTTGGGGCTCTTGAAAAAGGGTGCTTCGACTTCTAGGGGAAGATGTCATGTTCTGTTTGGGAAGTCACAGGAAATGTAGATCGACCTCTGGCTAGTCCGGATCGATTTACACATTCTTTGGTGGACGATTCTGAGAAGACTTGGAGATCTTCACGGGAAAGCAACCACCCGTGATTGGCAAATTATTTGGCATCGGTTGCAAATCACAATCATTTGGCATCCTTGGCTGGAGAGCAACCCAAATTTTGAGACACTAAGTAATTGGCTGGAGTTTTGTTTTTCTTGGATATTTTTTGCGTCAATCTAGCGCTATTTGATTGGGGGTTTGAGCTGCTCCCTGGTGGTTTCCAGGTTTAGCTGATTTGTCTTCACATGACCTCAATGATTTCGGGAGCATCCAGAACCCCCGCTCCACAGCAGCTCTTGGGTACGAGAAACTATTCGCAGGTTGGCAGATTCGAGCCACCAAGCTGATCCTTTAATTTTCCCTGGCCTCCTTTCGTTGCCCTCAGTTCTTCTTGTATCCCTTCAGAATGGGACCATAGAGTCCATAGAGTCACCAGTCATACGGTGCAGCGGCCCGGTCATGGCCACAAAGGTCCTTCAATTCCTTTGTCTGCAAAAGAATCCAACCTAAGATTTCAATCATGCGATCATCGAACGAAACCGTTGGGGATAGGTCCTTGGTCCTTGGGAGCTTGACCTTCCAGGTAGGTCAACCAAGTTGATGATACCTTTCACCTTCACCCAGCTTTTCCACTTCCTGCTTATTCCGGACGGATGCCCACATTGGGCCAGGGTTCCCCCACGGATGTTCGGAACCATGTTGGAAATCACAAGAACCACCATTGACCGGTCGCAATTTCCCAGACTCTTTTTCCAGTGATTCTCAGTTAGCAAACCAGTGCCAGGGGGGGTGTCGGAGGCTCTGGGATGAAAAGAACAACACCTTGGCACGGATGCTCTGTGGATGCAGAACAATCCTCGGTAGTCACTTCGAGGATGTGAAATGGACACCCGATGCTGCGGACCCTGCGGCTCACCTGCGGATCGACTCCGACGCCACCAACAACGACCCCCAAACCAACAACGACTCGAGATGACCGAGGCGACTCCGGCGCGCGAGTTCCGTAGGCTGACTCGCACCCACCGTGTCCCACACCCCACTTCGCCGAACCGGGTGACCGTGAACCGGCGCGGTGTCGCGACGAGCCACGAGCTCAGTCGGACCTGGGCGTTTGTTTCTTGGACCTGGCCGACCTGAGCGCCGAGGAGCGCTTCAAGGCGTGGTAGTGGACGCTACTAGGGGCTCCTGGCATCGCTACTAGGAGCGATCGGACGCTACTAGGAGCGCCGAGGATATTTGGTTTTGGTTCGACACGTCCGATGCGTGGGGCGGAAGGGAAGATCCGTCGGACAGGGGCGGACAGGGGCGAGAGGGTCTCGGAACGAGGGTCCGGCGTGAGCGAGGGAGCGGTAGCATGCGGTAGCGAGAGTGGTAGCCAGAGGAGTAGGTTGGTGACCTGAAGCCGCGTTTCAACTTCATGAATGATTGCGAAGCTCTACAATCAGTTCTTTGGAGAAGAACTAGCTGCTAAAGCAACATAACCCTGGCATTCTTAACCTCCTGTAACTCCTGTAGGCATATTTTTGGCATGGTCCAGCCACCCCCCCTTGGATTTGTCGGACATCCTTGGTAACATCGCTGCCGGGCTGGTAGTCACACCGATCTCTTTTGGTTGTTCGTTTGGGGCGATCTCTTTTGGGGGTGGCTGAGTTCAGCAGCGGTTTCTGCCAGGGTTGGTGGCCTTTTTTGGGTTGGTGGCTCTATATTCGACAGGATGCAAACACACACTGTTGAGGACCACCGGGCAGAGATTGATGGTGTGTGTATGTGGCTAGCCCCTAGCAGCTAGCAATCACCTGAACATGTACAGTAGAGCCCAGTTTCCACGTACCTCTTGAACCCAAAAACTCGATTTTCACTGAACAGGCCTCATAACTCAGAAATCGGGAACCGCCTTGAGGTGAAATGCCACCTCATGATGTGTGATGCTGTGATGTGGTGATTATTTGTGAAGTGCAAAGGTGGTGATTCCGTCCCTGGGAAGCCTCTCTTTGAAAGAACTATTGATGATGTTTGGAAAGCTTCTTGGAACACTCACGCATACAGCTGATGGATGACTCCTTGAACCCACCAATTCGAGTGTGATTGAGAGCAGTAGTGGGCTACCCCGAAAAGCTGATGCAGGAGGTTCGAGAGGCTGATTTTTGGGCAAAGGTCTTGGGTGGTATTCCAAGCCAAGCCCACTTGAAAGGACTTTTGAACAGAAATCCAGCGCCGCAAGCTCCGTCCCAACATCAAAGCACGGAACCGTGTGTCGCAGAAGGGCAGTTTCAGACCGAATCTTCGCAGGCCACGAGCTGATAGCTGTTGCCACATTCTGTCATAAAAACGAGCAAATGCAGGAACTGGATCAAAGTGGGCCGAATGTAGGTCGTGGACAATGTATGTGGTTGATGTATCTCCCAGATGTTTGGAGGCTAGTTTGTAAAGGCGCCGCTGGTGGTTGATTGATCCGCCGCTGCCCATTTCAGCATTCTTGCAAGCTCTGCGCCTGGCGCTTCATGTGGGGGCTTGGGTTGGCCTTCTCCTCTCGGCAGCCGAAGGTGGATTTCTTGGAGCTGCGGGATGCCAAACTTCAGGCAGGGCAAAGTGCAGCCAATGCCATGAGCTGGCCGCCCAGTGTGTCTGCGCTGGTGCTGGTGCTGTGCTGGTGGTTGTGTTTCGGATACCCTCCCCCCTCTTGGTAGAGGAGAATAGTCTTCCAAGGGGCCACTGTCCACTTCCATGATTGCTTCAGGGAGTGTAGTCTGGCGTGCCTTGATATGTTACAACGGTTGCGCATGATGCTGGGGAAGCCTAGGACTGCACTGTTCGTGCGCATGCTTTTGTGTGCATACATACATCCCTGCATACATACATCCGTGCATACATACATACATACATACATGCATACATGCATATGTACATACGTTACATTACGTTACCTTACATTTCACTCCACTACGTTACACTACATCACAGTTACACCGTTATACCACACCAGTGCACTACATTACATTACATTACCTGACATTTCATACATACTTGCATGCATATATACATCCACACATACATGCACACATACATGCATCCATTCATACATGCATACATACATAAATGCATACATACCTAACTACCTACCTACCTACCTACCTACCTGCCTAAATACATGCATACAGACATGCACACACATATGCGCAACATCATATTGTGGTTAGTGGGGCCGTGAAACGTGAGAATGATTGCTGTTTGTCGAGCAACATGCTTCTGGTTTGCTCTTGCTATTTCTGAACGCTTGCGCATGGTGCCTGTGAGCCTGGGAGCTGTAGTGTTCGCGTGCATATGCGTTTCGCGCATCTTTACCTGCGCAGCATCATAGTCCACCGGTTGCGCGCAAATTTCTGGACACATATACTGATATGCGCAACATCATATTGTTTTGAGCAGGCGAACAGCATCTTTACTGTCCTACAATTATATAACATAACTTATAACTAACCATGTTCGTTGATGATCCAACGGCTGCTTAAGCAGGCGGGAACCTCCGAATAGTCTGGCACTGCGTTGCGCTTGCTATGTCTGAGCGCTTGCGCGTGATGCTTGTGAAGCCTAGGTACTGTTTGCGCGTATATTTTTGTACGCATATATTTTTACGCGCAACATCATATTGTTTTCATCGGGGCAACGTATATGCTGGAGCAGCATTTGTGTGCTTTGAAACGTGAGTCTCCACACTTGTTTGTTCGTGTGGTGTCTTTGGCTTTAGAGTTGATTGCTATCACGGGTCAATGCCGGTGTAATTTATAAGAATCATGGTGGGCTTGGAGGATTGCCTTACGTCGTTGAGCCTGTTTGAACCTCAGCCATGTTGAGTGTGGTAGTCCGCTGGTCAGCAGAGATGACTGACGTGCGTTGCCCGTGCGGCAGCGTTGTGTACTCAACAAAACGCAAGAGTTCGCTGGGGTTTTGCGGTGGCCAGGCTGTGGCTGTTGCGAAACTTCATAGCGCGTGCCAGCAGCGCTGGAGTACTGAGCAGTTGCCCTTGGTGCCCACCAAACAGGCACTAGTGTATGGGAAGTGGGAGAGTGGTTGCTGTGACTGAGTCTTCAGAATGCGCCACTTCCATCAATTCATCTATGTGCGGTTGCTTTCCATACTGAGGGTGAGTGTGGGCTTTGCAAGTGTGTTTGTAAGGGCAATCCATGCGGGTGTCCAACTATGGGGCCTTTTGTTTTGATATTTGTAGACTCCCTTGAGACGAAAAAGGTGTTTTTCAGTTGATGGAAGAGATCGAAATCAAACATAGACATTCCAAGTTCATTGATATGATATTGCAATGTCCGGTATTGCCCGTGGAAAGGGTGGTGCAGGATTTCAAACACAAACACAACAGGGGGCTGCATCCGGACCCTCCTGCATACCTGCGTTACCTGCGCACTCTTTGTCATACGCAAACGGAACTTTGTTTGTTGACATAGCAGATTCGGCCTCCTGTTTCGGCGGTGCACTGGGAGTGGCGAAAAAGAGTGGTGGGTTGGTTGGGCTTTTAGGTGCCCAAAAAAGCAGCCGATGTCGGTATGTTCCGGCAGAGGAGGGTCATCCATTGGTGTGACAGCGTTTTTTCGTGTTTTCGTGACCGACGACTGGGCGTTGATGTTTTCTATTTGCATTTCTGAAGCAATGGTGGGAAGGGTTTGGCCCTTTGACACCTGGAGATCGTTTCCCTTGGCGTTATCCCGCCCTGAAGTGGCTAGAATTCCTGCTTCACGTGCCGGAAAAATCTGCTTTGGTGTACCCAGTTGGGGGGCTCTCTTGAGAACCACTTGGACCGTTGTAGCAGCCTAAGAGACCGTTGGATGGCACCATTCTCACGGCGGCACCTGGCCGCTGACGCGTGACCGAGCCTTCAGGCTTTCTTCTTGGACTACACCATGGATGCCCAGGTCTGGCAGGGCATCTTCCGGTGTGTTGTGCCCGGTTTTTGTTTCTTTGGTCGGCTTAGCATCCGTGCAATCTTGGCAGATGGACTATCAACAAATCAAGTCGCAAATCGGCTCTTTGATCATTTTGCCGACCGAAAAGGGCCCCTTCTTTTTCCGATGGCGAAGGATGTCGATTTTTTACCAAGGGATGTACCGCATACGCATTGGTCACTGTGCGCTTGCCTGGCGCCTGGCGTGAGGCGAGGCGCCTCTACGAGCATATTGCAGCGGCAGCTGGCATGGTGCGGGAGCCACTGCTTGGGGGGGATGGGTCTTAGATGAGAAAACACCCCTGCAGGCGGTGTGACCTGGAGGGGCCATTCGGTTTCATTGGTGTTTTTCAACGTTCATATGGAAGTGGCTCAACATGTGTAATAGGACCAACAAGAACACTGAGTTACTCGCCTCACAACGCATGCAAGAAAACGACTTCGAATTTGGGTTCTCCTTGGCGTTTGTTTGAAGGTTGGAAGTGACCTAGACCTGAGCGGGAGATCACCTGCAGAGTCGAACATGGGCGTGACCTGCGGGTCAACGATCTGGTGAAACCAACTGCCAAGCGGGTCCACCTTCTGCGTGATCCGACCAATTGATCTTCCAAAAGCAAGACAAGTTCATCCAAACAGATGTTCGGGTCATTTCTTAAGTATCTATCCCTTCGTTGGGACACTTTTCAGGGTGGTGCTTGCTTATAGTCGTAGAGACTGAGGGCATTGACTCCGAGGCATCGATGGACTCCTTGTGGGGTATTTCCGGTGCTCCGCCGCAGGGCACCGCCACCTCGCCGGCCTTCAGCGGCGCCGGGCGCAGCGCGCCGCGGGACGCTGGGGTGGCGAAGCCGGTGGGTCGAAGCCGGGGGGCGGGTGCGTGGCCGGTGGACGTGGGTTCGGCAGCGAGACCCGACTCGACGACAGGACGTGGAGTTGCGGATGTGTCGGAACAAGTCCTGATGGTTAGTGAGTCAGAGTGTACCCAGGAAAAGTGGAACAGCTTGAAGCTGACAGATTCTTGGGGAGTGGGGCACCAGATGCACAGGTGGAGAGAGGCACAGGTGGACATCGTTTAACCTTGATTCTCTTGGGCAACTCAGGGGGTCCAGTCCATGGAGTGAAAGGAGCCTACCATTCATCTTGGGGAACCTACTGGAATGGATCGGCTGGATCGGAAAGGGTATAGACCGCTCCCATCATAATTCAAGGTTGAACCCATGAACCTTTTCGACTTGGACATGGCACTTCTGTTGCAATTGTTGCAGCTCTCATCTTAGCCCACGGCACCCAGGAAAAACCGTGGCCCAAGGGTGTGTGTGCGACAAGATTGCATGGCATTGTCCCTCACCTGCTCAAATGCTAGGATTTCTCTTAGAATCTTAGAGTTTAGATGTTTGACAAGCGCTGCGTGCGTCCGATGTTTGAACAGGTGGGTGCAACTCTTATATCTCTATCTATCTATCTATCTATCTATATCTTGGTACCTGGGGTCTAGGGTCCTAAAACACGTCGTTTTCCTCATCCGCGTTTTGGTCTTCGCTTGAGGATCCCGAGCTGGCTGAGGAGAAGCGTCGGGACGGCCCGTGGGACACGGTCGGCTCGACCGGGACACCGACGAAAGGACGATGTGGCGGGGAAAGCTCCTTTGTTTTGTTTTTGGATCTGAATGTGGTGGTGGTGGTGGTGGGTATTCTTTGATTTGGGGTTCATGTTATTTTCTTTGGGCTTCAAACATCATGGATTTGTGGCAGATAGTCAGATAGTCGTTTCGTCCTAACACATGGGTGATGTTTAAGGAGGAAAGACAGGACACCCTGGTATCTTACAGTAAGTCGAGGCCTTGATCTCGCCAAGGTCGACGGTGATGGGGCATGAGTGTGGAGGTGGTTTTGACAGAACAACGGGGGGGGGGGGGGGGGGGGAGTGTACGTGGAAAGGGAGGCCTCAACCGGGACCCCAAATGGACCAGACTTGACGGTGGTTTCGTCGGTTTCGTCCGGCGTGTGGCTGGGGGGAACCGCAGAAAGATGCGGAACACCCCAACCAGTTCCTGTCGCGTCGCCTGGATTTGGCTCTGACCAAAGGGGGCAGGCACATCATTCGCCAGCCGATGTCGTGTGGTGGGTGGCTGCCGATGTCGGACGTCGGGCCGCCACGTGGCTGCCGATGTCGAGGGACACACCTGACTCGTGCGTTTGTTTCACAAGCCGAGCGCACGGTGGATGTAAGGGATAAGAAGTGACTTGAACCAAGCAGTTTTGAGTGATTCTCCACCGGAGTGTTTGCCATGGGCAACAGATCTGTGATTGGGTGATGAAGAGCGTCGCGTCGAAAGCAAGTGGCATCCTCTTGCGGCATGACGTGGCTTGCTCTGGCTACTAGCATCCACAGGCAATTGAGGTCCGAATCTATCTGGCTAGCCGCGCCACGTCCGAATGTGATAGGAATGTGATAGACTCACAACCTCAAACCAAACGCTACTTATAAGTATCATTATTCCTTTACCCTTTTGGTGCATGTTTTGGACCTCGTTGGACCATCCCTCCCAAGTCTGCCGATCGGCCCACGTCTCGACCGTCCTCTCGCTGGCAACACTCAGGTTCGAGTGGCACACCGTCGCGCACGAGCAAAGAGGTCCGGGCTCGGATGTGGACGGTCCGCGCCCGTTTGGTTTTGTTTTTCTTTTCTCTGCACGGCATGGATGACGCGACTGGTGCGATGACGGGGTCAAGGTCGATGCTTCACCTTCTTCTCCCCCCGCCAGAGGGATCGAGGAGGATTCCCGCCAGTGCCATGCCGGCCTTCCTGACCGAGTAGGAGAAAAATGGCCAGATGGAGGACTCTCCTGACAGAGTGGGTCCCAGCAGTGCATGGTGGCGCACTTGTGAAGGGCGACTGTAGTGAAGGAACCCACCTGCGACGAAAGTAGGGAATGAGGGTGGCTGGATCCCAGCGAGATTCCTCGTGTAGGATCAGCCACCCGAGTCGCACCCTGCGAGTCGCCGTCAGACCATGGGCGTCAGAAGTTCTTCCCACTCGGTCCATCTACTCGACCAGTCGGAGGCCCACCTGGAAGAATCCGGGGGGCCTCCACCCCCGTCTCGTGGTCGCCTCCGTGTCCATGATCGGCCTCCGTCGGATGACCGGCCGATCCGGGCGTCTGTCGGTGGCTCCACACGGTGTTCGTCCGACGTCCCACCGAACACGATCGTCGACCGGAACGACCGTTGGAACCTTCGGTGATGGGTCGTGTCAAAAGCACTCTTGAGCAGCAGCCAAGAAGCCAAGAACTGATCTCAACCTCCCAAACACTCCGCCCACAGTGCTTCCGACTTGGAACCTCAAGTGGCGAAGTTGCCGCGATCCAGGCCTTCAGATCGGGCGAGATGAGGAGAATCCGGGATCCGGCTCAGTTGAGCCGACATCGATGTGACAGAATGACGTGACACTCCGACGAACACATGGAAGTGGACCCCCCGTGTTTGTAAAGGAAAGTCATCTTCCAAGGGACCATGCCATCCAGTCCCATGCTAGTGAGTCAGAGTGTATTGTAGACTTTATGGATGAAATCACCCCACATACACGGGCTTTTCAATCCAAAGGGGGGTTGATTCATCAAGAGTCTACATTAGACCAGCACCCTCACTGCCAGGTCACTGGTTGAGACCTGTCAAGGCCCAACAAAAGTGGGAGTTTGCGACTTGGAATCGACCCTAAGCCCTGCTTGCGGCCTTTGTCCAGCTTGTTCTTGGCTTGGTTTTGGGGTGCGAGGGTCGGATACTCGTGCAGGATGGCTGGCTGCTTTCTCTAAGTGGGAGTCGGGAAAACCACCTAGTAATTACCGTATATGATACATGTTTTTATTACTATTGAAACCATGCCAACCATGCACTATAATAGGACATGGGAATCCTTTTCTTTCATCATTTTTTCCATTTGTATTTCTGTTTTTTACAATAATAGACATTTATGTCTTTATGTCTTCCCGGTTTTTCCATGTTTTTCCTCCGCTTCTGCTCCGGTGAACTCGGCCGGTCGCGGGAGTCCCGCGGCTTCGCGGCGAGGACGGAGCTGGAACCAGGCGGTTTTCGGCCGGAAGCGGGCTGGAGAGGGGTCAAGAAAGGCATTGAGAGTGAAACAGGGTGGATGTTTTAGTGTAAGCTAGACATTCTCTGAGTATTTCTGAGTGGAGATTTGTTTTGCTTCTCCTTTCAGAACCTTCTGGCATTTAGGTCATGTTTCGCAAGTGAGGCAACTCCCAAATTTGGGACAGGAAAATTGTTGGGCATCCCCGCTGCGCGGAGCAACAGTGCAGCCCCATTTGCCACCTCTTCGGCTCCCACCTGCTCTTCAGCAGGTCCAGCTGGGTGCGAAGTTCAGCACACCAACGGTTCTGTCCAAAAATGTCCAAAAGCATGACACATATGCCACACATAGTGCCACACATAGTGCCACACATAGTGCTCCATTTTTGTGCCTTGAGTTGGGAATTGGTCCCCTTTCCGTGTATTATGAAGTCTGACCCACGGCGTGACAATGCCACGCTACTGAACCCCAAGTCTCACTTGACAAGTCCAACTCTTCTTTTGGAGACTAGATTGTCGAAATCTTTAGATCCTGAAATATTGACGATGGATCATGTAGGCTCTTGATTCATGAAGCCTCCAGGCAATGAAGAGGTGCCCCCCATTCCATTGCGGTTTTACTCATCTACCAGGGGCCCTCAAAACCATGAAAAACCACGGTTTTCACAAAAACAATGTTTTGTGCTAGGGAACATTCGGGTTTTTGATGGTTTGTGGGGGGTTTCTGGTAGAGTCTACAGGATCTTCATGGATCTTCGGCTTCCTCACATGCACAGATTCTTTCGGATCCAACACACTGGTGCTTAAACTATAGCCGTTGCTACAGACAGAGGGAGCTCAAGAGCCCGGAGTGAAGACGAAAGCACTTGGGCTAGTGAAGACGAAAAGAGAACCTTGGTTGGAAGGATATCGACCGGTGTTTTCTTGAGGTGATACGGTGATACCAACACCGTTGTTAGATATTTTTCCTATTTGCCAAGAGGATCAGGCCATGCCGACCACCGGGGCCATGCCGACCCGTCTCGCAGATGCCCAAAGCGGCCTTCTGGGTGATCTCTGGGGCACCTTGGCCCGACCGGACGGGCCACCTTGCCCCACTGGGCGCCTGTTCTATACTGTAGTTTTTGAAGAGCTTCATGGGTACGTCATGGGTAAGAAGCAGGGCACGCAGTGGATGAGTGATGGAAATCCGACGATCAAAACAGGTGCCCTGGGGGGGTGGAATCCACTTGGTTTGTTGGGAGGGACCCCGATTCTTCGACTGGTTGGACGTCCGAAGCCAGACCGGTTCTTCGCGCACGGTGGTTCGGTTGGACTCCTTAGAGCAAAGGAGATGGGTTCGTTGGGAGAAAATCACCTGTATCAATCCCAAAGAAGATGGAGGTGCAGGAAGATGGAGGTTCGTGGATGATCCACAACGCAAGGGGTTGGGAACCTCCCACGCACACGGCTCGTCTACTGCTAAGAAACACCAGCAGCCTCCCCCAAAAGCGCCACAGCCACAGCACTTCAGGTTTTTTGACTCTGGCCGGATGCGCCCCCGAGCGGTGTGCGCCAAAGAGATGTGGCGGGGCGCCGAGTTGCCGCCGCCGTGGGCGTAATGGGCTGTGAAGAAAGTTGAAGTAGGTCATGGCTCTAGCTGACAGGGTATGAACTTCCAAAGCCTGGCCATTCTCGATTTTTTCTCTACCCGACCTCTGCCCTCAAATCATCTACCCCATGCGCGTCTTCATACGAAGGCGGGGGATCATCCTCAAAGGCCGTTAGTTTTCACGCCACGGTCACTCTGCGTCTTCACTCAGGCTGTCAATGGGAGGATGGGGCAATCCTCCCCATGCAGCGGCCGGAGGCGGCCGGTGCAAGCACGGTTGCACGGAAGGATCGGATGTTCCACGAGCCCACAACGGCAGGATCTCTCCATCTCCACATTTGGTGTTTCTCTTCTTTTCGGAGCTGAGAATTGGCGCTGATGAGGCGTCGTCCTCGCCCTCCACCGCAGCCCGGCCCCGCACTAGACGCCGCAGGCTCCACGGCCGGGTGCTTGCAGCGAGGACAGGACGTGGCGTGAGGGGCGGCCTGAGGCTTTCGGCGTTCGACGCGACCGAAAATGGGCTTCAAACGGCCTAGGTAAGGAGGTCTCATGAGGTCACAAAATGGGCTGGCGCAACTTTCAGAGTCATCACGCAACTTTCAGATTCTATAGCTACTTGAGGTGTAGGGAGTATCAACATGATGCTGGGTAGTGTTGACATGGGTTTCTTCGGCCAAAGCTGCTTCGACAAGCAACAAGATCTGATGTTTTGATGGGGAAAACAGCTAGTTTTGACTATACCTTTCTTTTTTCTCACATAGGCACAGGCCGGCTGGGTGAAACTGTTTCAGAGAAGTTTATTTACTGTATCGCCCTGCTTGGGAATTTCTCAACCTGTTTGCAGATGGTCTTGACCTCCGCTTTTGAGTCCAACGGCAGTCCACAGCAAGCACCCAGTTGAAAACCTTGGTCTTTTGGGGGTGTTGGAGACTGCTGGACAGATTTTCCTGGAGAGGAAACCCAAGCAGGGGCCCTAAGAAGTAGATTATCAGGGTATATGTCTGGCAGCAGAGAACTTCAGCAGCATTTTCCGCACCGAGGCAAGAGTTCATTTCAGACCACTGCTGCACAGATGGCCCTCCTCGTGCGTTGGGCGGCTTCAGGCGAACCGGTGGTGCTTTTGAGCGAAAAGGAGTTTCAAGATCTGGTGGAAGAACGGGGTAGCACTATGAGAGCCTTGAAGCTGGAGCTTGTGTCTCAGGGCTTGGGATCCAGATTTCGATTGAGGTTCCTGCAAATGGAAGAACATGTGGAGATAGATGACGATGTGACGTTGGTGCCACCTGTAGAGCTCAAGTTGGTGAGGCTGGCTTTCCAGACACCTGACCCAGCTCGAGATGAGGAGTTCATCACAGCATGCGAGGAAGGACGCCTAGAAGAGGTAGACAAGAGGCTGCGGCAGCCGCAAGATCCCAACTCTACAGATGCAGATGGCTGGACAGCTCTGCAGGTGGCAGCTCAGAGCGGGCATGCGGATGTGGTGGGCCTGTTGCTGGATGCTGGAGCCTTTCATCATCATGTTCACCGACATGCTGGCGTGACCGCTTGCCATATGGCAGCGGCGAGTGGTCACCTAGAAGTGGTGCGATTGCTGCTGCAAGCTCGAGCCTGTGCTGATCATCCCACTGCAGACGACGGCTGCACAGTTTTGCATCTTGCAGCTGAGAATGGTCATGTTGAAGTAGTGCGCTTGCTGCTCAAAGCTGGAGCCTCTTGCGAAAAGGCCACAACAGATGTTGGAGAATTTCCTTTGCTGAGTGCTGCTGAGAATGGGCACCTGGAAGTGGTGCGCTTGTTGCTGGAACATGGAGCCTCTTGTGACCAGTCAACAACAGATAGTGTCGGCGAATTTCCCTTATTCAGTGCTGCTGCGAACGGTCACCAGGAAGTGGTGTGTGTCTTACTCGAAGCTGGAGCCTCTTGTGACAAGGTGACGATAGATGCTGGTCATTTTCCTTTGCTAAGTGCCGCTACAAACGGTCACTTTGAAGTGGTGCGCTTGTTGCTGGAAGCTGAAGCCTCTTGTGATCAGGTGACAACAGATTGTGGTGAATTTGCCTTGCTACGTGCTGCTGAGAACGGTCACCTAGAAGTGGTCCGCGCGTTGCTCAAAGCTGGAGCCTCTTGCAATCAGGCTACGAGCGATGTTGGTCAATTTCCTTTGCTTAGTGCTGTTGCACAAGGTCACGCGGAAGTGGTGCGGTTGTTGCTGGAAGCTGGAGCCTCTTGTGACCAGGCAACGACAGAGGGTGGCGAGTTTCCTTTGCTTAGTGCTGCTGCGAACGGTCACCTTGAAATGGTGTGCATGTTGCTCCAGGCTGGAGCCTCTTTCAACCTTGCCATGGCAGACTCTGGTGCAACTCCTTTGCATTGTGCTGCTCAGAACGGTCATTTGAATGTGCTGCTATTGCTGTTACAGGCTGGGGCGTTTTGTGATGATGCTATGACCGACAATGGTGCAACTCCTTTGCATCTTGCAGCGGAGAATGGTCATGTTGAAGAAGTGCGCTTCCTGCTGAAAGCTGGAGCCTCTTGCGACAAAGCGACAACAGATGTTGGGGAATTTCCTTTGCTGAGTGCTGCTGAGAATGGGCACCTGGAAGTGGTGCGCTTGTTGCTGGAACATGGAGCCTCTTGTGACCAGTCAACAACAGATGTTGGTAAGTTTCCCTTGCTTGGTGCTGCTGCAAACGGTCACCTGGAAGTGGTGCGCTT